TTACACCTCAGTCCTTCATCACATCCGAAGTTTAGAGGACTTATTTTAATCGGGCAAAAATTATCAATCCAGATTTATCAAAATTAAGAGGTTTTATGCGTAATCCAGTCTGAAAAACTGGGCTTTGCAATTCTGTCCGTATGTCTTTGTGTCTGTCTGTCCGTGTGTAAACACGATAACTCGAGTACCGTTACAGCTAGGTTGATGAAATTTTAAATATAAGTACTTTATTAAAATCGTAGATCCGTACCAACTTTGAGCGATTTCCGATAACCGGAAGTGGTACTTTTCCTACTTTGAATTTTTCAAAAGCCGATAACTTGAGTACCATTTCAGATAGATAAATGAAATTTCACATGTAAGTAAAAGATCTAATTCTCTACCTTCTGTTAAATTTTGAGTAATTTCCGTTGATCGAAAGTAGTAATTTTCGCTACTTCCGATTTCTAAAAAACTAATGTAAATTTTTAAAGTACTAATAATATTGCGCACTATTATGCACTTTTTGATTTGGCGTTCACTTGATGTGCAATAAATTTGTCTACGAGATTTTATTCTATTTTTAAAACTTTAAGTATTAAAAATGGATTAAAAATTATGTCTACAGCCCGAGTTCCCATCCCCTGTTATTTTATATAAGAATATTCGAGAAAGTTTAGGGGAGATCACTCCCGGTTTATTTTTTAAAAAATAGCATAATAATTGTAACACATATGGTTACCAGCCAAAGGGGGATAAAAATATGAAGTTTTTATTCATTGGGTTGCGGCCCCTGTGGGACTGCAACTGAACTATTGACGTTTTTTTATGCTTTTGTGAGCGAAATTACCTGTGTTTCTTGTCATGTGACATGGGATTGTGGGTAGTTTCATGCCTAGTCGTGTCGCACACGCAAGCCTGCTGTCTGTGAACACGGTGACCAAATGTAGACCTAATGAAGGTAGTTATATAAATTATGTTTGTTAAAATACTTATGTATTCCTGCTAGTGTTGCATGTGCACACTAGTTAGGGTGAGTATTAATATAAGTATTTATTTGAAGTACTACGTATTGGTACTTGTTGGCAGTACTGTGTACTGGCCAAAACATATTTTATGGTTACCCGTGTTGTCAGGAATGTAACTTTTTTTTATTTACATTTGTTTTAGGGCTACAGTCTTTTTTGGACTTTTGGTCTTTTGGTTTTGGTTTTGGATCTTTTGGTTTAGCTTGGCTAGTTCGTTTTGTACTACTGTGTTGCATCGCCGTCATGGCTCGATGCTATAAATAAACGAGTACTTGACAACAACTGTCGGTGTCAGTGTGTACTTAATCTCAGGGTCAGCCCGTCTTAAACCACAACACCTCAGTGGGTAAAAGCATCCCCACTGAGTGAGGGTTACATAATGTTTGATTGACATTCTTACACATGTTACTTATACTTGCAAATAAAATAATAATCCTTTAGTATATAAAAAGAAGCAGTGATACATTATTTTTATTTTAATTATAATTTAACTTTTGCGTGTATGAAGATAAAGTAAATAAATCTAGAAATAATATAGATGTATAGTTTATTTTAGTAGATACATTTTTTTTTACTGGATGAGTAAAAATTCTAACAAAAAATTTAAGTCTGAAATAGAGACTACATATTTCTTAGGTTACTAATGTCTAATGATTCATCTATTAATTTACCTAATATTGAATGTGTTACTGTAACTGAAATTGAATACTTCGAAAGTGATGTAGAGAGAATAAAGGGATTGGTTCAGAGCAAGTAAAGCAATAGACTTTATTCTGATATACATTCATAAGCTTTAAGCCTGCATTTATAAGATATACATTCGTAAGATGTAAACAAATGCTAGTCCAGCAAGTGGTTAACTAAAACACATGAATGTTTTCTATTATTTGTGAGGAATAGGAATTGACCAACTTAGTTTTTAGTGCAAGGTCTTTTGGCTGTTCAAGATTATTTTATTTCACACCACGGGTAAAGACTATTTTAGTATAATGGTTGAACAGACTTTCTAGATCTATACTGCACAGCGGAATCCAGATAAAGCTTGAAGTCTTTGATATAAAAGATATAAATTATTCATTGGCTTCTAACAGTCATGTCTCTGGTTTCATTGTACAGGAAAAAGTTTGAATAATGGCCAAATATCAGCATTGTAGATATATTCTAATTTCTTTCCTATCAACTAGTTTGAATCATTCAAAACTACTTTGCATTTAAAACAATAACAATTTTAAATTATACTAGACAGAGGTCCTGCTGAGCAAACTTAGGCTGCTTATTGACTAACACAATAAAAAGATGCATGATTACTAAGAAATGTGACATACCTGGTAATAGCAATAAAGTGCAAACAAATCAATTGCTATCTTGTAATGAATCTCTGATTCTCCAGATTTGGGATCTATAAATGATTAATTTTTTTTTATTTGAACATATTTTTTACTTACCGTTGCGTAGGCCTACTGTATCGAAATTGCAACATACTGTTATTTTGCAAAATAAACATTATTTGATAACATAATTCACTTCCCTGATTATTTTATAATTTATGCTCTCTACACACTACAGCCCACCGTGTACAATTTTTTTTCTCAAACAGCTTTCACAAAATCAATTCATACAATGAAGGGTTAATGTCACAAACATTCACAAATTATGGAACATGTAAATCATACATATGTTTTCTAATCAACAGAGTCACGTGTAAATAAAAGATATGTTTGTTATTTGGAAATCAACGAATCTACACGTGTCAGTGCTAGATCAAACATTTCAACCTTTGGTGATATACGTGAATATAACTGTCAACATTTTGATCAAACAACAGGAACATTTGTATCACCACATGATGGTTTATATCTTGTCAGTTTAACTCTATATAAAAGTAAAGATAAAATTATTGTAGTTGGTGTGCGGATTGGAGAGAGGCCGTGTTCGTTTACTATACGAGTAAGCTCTGCTGATATTAACGCTGCTGGGTCAGTGGTTGTTGACGTGAAGGAGGGGGAAGAACTTTACTTTGAAGTAATCGGAGCACATGAAGACGCAGAGTTATCCTGGTTCAGTAGTTTCACTATCGTTAGTTTATAGAAGTACAACACAAAACAGGATGGGCAATACATTTTTAAAACACTAAAATATGTAACCACTATGTTAAACACACGCTAACAACCTACTATGTGTGTAGACTACATGTCTAGAAAAACTTGAATAGTTTGTGTGTTATTTGTTTAGTCGTCATTACACTGTTCCATCTAATGCAATGTGATCACCAATTAATATGTTCTACTTGACTACATAAAACATATAAGATAATTCTCATATATTTTATTTTTTTGTATATGAGCACTGAGTGTAACGTTGGGTGTGTTAAACATATAACATTGTTTTGCTAAATAAAAATTAAATTAAATTCCGTATTTTTCAAACAAACTCAATGAACTATATAAAAGACAAATGTTTAATTAAGTTCACTGGACATCAATATGTATCTGATATATTTAAATAATGATCCATGTTATGCAATTGTAAATAAATTGAAATATACTGCAATTAAATCTTATTGTAATTCAATGTAAAAACAAACAACTACCTGTATTGTCTTTCTATTGAGTAACATTGTATTTGTAAATTAGCAACTACTCTAACAAACACAATAGGCCACACATGTTTGTACATTATAGATATTCAAACAGTTCTGTTTATACGTATATATATATATGTATGATTATGTATATGTATATATATATATATATATATATATATATATATATATATATATATATATATATATATATATATATATATATATATATATATGTGTGTGTGTGTGTGTGCATGTTTAACTTAACCCAAACCTAACCCTGAACCTGAACCTGAATATAATCTTAATGCTAATCCTAATCCTTAAAGCATCATATTATTGAAAGGGATGAGGTCAATTTTCTGTCGACGTGCTAAAAGCGGAAAGGGATAAGGATATAACGTGTAGGAAGCTTGAACATAACAACTTGTTAATTACTCCTGGTAATGTTCCACTCCCACAGGGTCTTATCCATTTGACACAATAGGTACTGTGTCTAGGGCCTACAGACTTTTGGATCTACACAAATTCAGAAAGCAAATAGTGAAAAAAACATTATCGATTTAAAAGATGTTGAGATTTTTTAACTCTTAAATTAATGCAACCATCACCATTTTATTGCTATATAAACATTACACAATCTGGTGTAGGTGTCACAGCCGCTGTTGAATTTTGGGCTTACGGAATGCCAAAACTGCCTGGCCCTACGAAGACAGTAAAATGGTCCTGCTCCCTAACCCCATTTATTAATTCCCAAGTCAATTACCGCCCCCCCCCCTATGTACACATCCCCGCCCAACCTTTTCAGTAGGACATTACCCCCTAATCAATTACTCACCTCCCCTTCTCACCCGTCGATTTGAAACGGATATCCCAGTGGGGGGGGGTAGCAGAAAAGCAGCTTTGGAATCGATAACATAGAGGTATAGTTTTAGCTATAGTTTTGAAGTGTTTTATACATATATATATATATATATATATATATATATATATATATATATATATATATATATATATATATATATATATATATATATATGTATGTATTGCTCCTTTTTCTCGACTTGCCGTCCCTAACCAGAAAACTTCTATTCGCCTCGGCTGGAAATATTGGTTTTTCATCAGAAGATAATAGGAAATACTTTCAATTTCTATAACATTGTTATAAATAGAATATACTAGAAATTGGTAATCAATATTAATTCTTGTATGCTATTTATTCTAACTGCTTTTTGTTTGGGACAAGTAGTCCAAAAAAAAAAGATAATTCGTCATATGATTCAAAAAATAAAGCAACATACAGTTTATTATATTAAAATAATAACACAAGTGTGTGTTTTTCGTATAAAAATTGTATTTGTTTTTTTATGTTACATATTTAAGAGAATATAATATGTTTGTTATTGTGTAAATGTCTGTGTTTATTTTCTTGTAAAACAATGCAAATACCTAAAGTTTAATTTTACAAATTAGTATAAAACCTAATACATATAATATTATTATAATAAAAAATTAAAGTTCCAATAATTTAAAGTTGTTCATTGCAAGAAAAAAACCTTGTTTTAATTCGTCACTTGAATGTTAGGCGGATAAAATATACATAAGAAACAAATCATGGTGGTAAAAATAATATGTTAGTTTGATGATTTAGATATGTTTTCTGCCCTGAGCCATCAGAGAGTTATAGTCAGGGGGTGGGGACAAGGTCTCCAGATGGACACGGCTAGCCGAAACTTCATACGGGTAGACTTTTGGACTCGTTGGGCGCTTGTGACTTTTAAAGACGTATCTGTTAGTGATAGATTAATATGTTGCTGTCAATAGATCAACTGTTGTACTTGTAACTGTATGGTGTTGTATGACTGTTGGTTTTGTTTGCAATTATAAATTATATATTCTATATACCAATACATGTTCAACCTCAAACATACTGTATTCTAGTAGCTAATTTATTGCAGCGATAAATATGTAGCAGAATACACATACTGACTTATCTAAGGTACGCTAGAGTACACATACATTCTAATATTTACCTTTTGATGAGGATGAAGCAAACGACAAGAAGAGCACCAAAAGCTACCAGACCAAGCGTCAGACCAACGATCATCCCAATGTTGGAGTCTTTCTCTTTTACTAAACAAAGGTAGAATAAATTCAGTGGCGTAGCGAGGTCGGGAGTCACCCTGCGCGACACTTAATTGTGTCATCCCCCAGAGGCGTAGCGACCCTTCCCGGGGACAAACGTTGAGTTTTCGATTTGCACCCTTCCCCCTCAAACTTTTGGTTTAAAACCCTCCCCCCTCAAATTTTTCTCTATATATTTTGCTATTTTTTTTTGCCTTGGTGTCACCCCCCTAAATGGTGTCACCCGGTGCGGTCAGCTCCCCGCCCCCCCCCCCCCCTCGCTACGCCTCTGAATAGATTAACTATATTCATGTCTTTTGCAGCTTCTAGAGTCTAGAGTAACGTCGTAATTTTCTTTAACTAAACACGAGTACAATGGATTAGATATTGTTATGTCATTTGTAGCATCTAGAGTCTAGAGCAACACTATACTTCCTCTTTAAATAAACAATACAAGCATAAATCACATGTTTTCTTGTTGCTGGTAGCTTCTATGGGAACAAAGTTAGGCACCAGCAGAGTTTCTTCCAGGCATCTCCCCCGAAATTTTTTTACCGCCCCCCCCCCCCCCGAACGAAATGAAATTTATATAATTTATATAGAAAATATATACTTTTAACAGTGTCCACCCCCCCCCCCCCAAAGAAAGTCTACCGCCCCCCCCCCCCCCCCTGAAAATTTCAAGTGCCCCCCCGGAGAAAAAAGTCTGGAAGAAACACTGGGCACCAGCAGGACATACACTAAGCTTTATAAACTTTACGTTTTAACATATTACTATGTACATTAAAAACAATGAGTTTCGTGGCGAATTATACAAATATTTCAACCACAATCACATCTCATTGTTATGCTTCTTTCAAAACATCAAGCAAGGGTATTGATCATTATTATACGCAATTATGTTTCTTAAAATGTACACTTGTTTCTTATAAACTTCTTTATACAATGTGAGGGGATTTCCCTCAACACAGTAAAGTGTTCCTTTTGCGTAATTGAGCCCATTAACTTCGGTTTACATTTCTGTATAAATTTGCTTCCATATTTTTCATCTGCCCAACAGCAACCTGCTAGACAGTCGCTGTTCTATTGTAAAGTCTAGCTTTCTTATCCCAAGCCAACGAGCCTAATTTGCCCCTTGAGTCTGAACTCAGGACTTTTGGAGTTGGCGATGATACGCTCTTAGCCCTACCACACGTCCTCATGTGTAAAGGAAAGAACACTTTTTGGTTGGCTGTGAGGATACATGTCTGTGTAATGAAACTGTGTAAGAATGTTTACCTGAGTCTGGATTGTATTGACACGAGTCCCAGTAGCCCAGCTCTATAGGGTAGTACATGCAGGAGTTGGTGACACACTGGGTAACTGACTGAGCTCCCTTACCCGCAGTTGTCGTTCCTTGAGAATTAAGTGTAGAAGCTAATTGTAAGCACAAATGTAAGGGTCGATATGGATTAATTATTAGAATAGGATCAGTGTGATGACAAGGGAGCGATTCCAAGATTAGATCATGTTAAATAGAAAGTAAATTTTCTTTTCGAACCTGACGGTAAATGGTGAAAGAGAAGTAGAGTTGACCTATTTCTGTGACCTAACCATATGAAGGAACAGTGTGGTCAGCATTATGCTCAGCCACCTTTAATTTCACTAACATGAATTAGGTTCCCATCAGTTAGGTGGTCTAAGAGACGTTCTACTAAATTGAACGAGGATTCGAACTCGAGACATTCAGGTAAACAGCGTATTGCTCTATAGCTAGGTCAGCAATTTTATTCTATGTGTCGTGATACTTGACAAATTTTGCTGAAATATTACATCCGGTATTTAACGAGATCAAATAATGTTTGTGTTTAGATTTTACCTCTGGGACATGTGATGCAAAAAGTTGCTTGTTCTCTGTCTTGATAGGTCCCCACTTCACACTTGGTGCACACCTTACCGCTCTTGTAGAAACCAGGTGCGCAGTTCACTGTGGCATGTAGGACCAGTTGTGTCATACGGATACAATTATAAAAAAAAACAAAAAACATGCAATACTTACAGTAAGATATCATTAACGTCTCCAGTTTACTAGCGTAACCATTTAGTAAGTAGACAAATATAAACACAAAAACCACATGTAAACACACAAAGCTACTAAAATGGGACATACATGCAAACAAAATATTACAGACCAGAGTAAGACGATCTGATATACAATATTACCGTCAGAACACATGTTCAAAATGCACATAGTAAAACATATAAAATTAAAAATATATCGACTAGTATACGTTTACTGCAAAGAACAAATGCAATGATTACCCTGAAAAATCACTTACAAAAAAGAAACGAATTACATATTATATACACCTACCACACAGACCACATATACTCATATATAACCATCTAATTTTTAATTTCTTTTCAAAACTCGAACAAGCCCGAATTAAGTATTCTTTGCTCGTATTTTCGTATTTTCTTACATATCTATATACATTTTTTTCGGGGTGGTCCATTTTTTCTAGTCCCGCTACTAATTATGACACAAATAATGTATTGTTTACCTACGTTAATTTTACCTCAGTACATTTAGTTGTGTCCGTTTAATGACAGTAAATCATTTGTTTGGTGTGTCCGGACCTCTGTGACTCAGAGCGAAACTGAAACAACTTAACGGGAAATTTCCATATTAGCTGTTTTACACGTAACACATTTGATCAGAAAATAAACGTTACATTGATATTACTTCATTGAATGTAACATAATACTCACAGATTTATGTATAATTTAAATTGTAAGTACGAATTGAAATGTAATTTGTAATTAAGAAACATATCTTTGAGCTAGATAATATTTTATTCATACAAATCTTCAAAGCTTTATGTCAAATTATATGTCACGGACCTACCAGAAAACTAAACTTTAGACACTATCCTACATGTAGGTCACTAACACACTAAACCACAACATGTAGGTCACTTACAAACCAAATAAAAACATTACTAGCACACGAACACTCAAAATGTAGGTCACTGACACCAACCCACTGCAGTTGTGTCAATATTCCGACAGCACACAAAAACTAAGACACAAGCACATCAACACACATCAAGCGGGACTTGGTATTTATATTTCCATATTTTTCTTGACGGTGTGTTTGATGAATGTTTCATCAAGTTTCACTACATTTTTTGTAATTCTGTAGATCTATAAAGACAACCACAGGTAGCTTTAAAAAAAAATCGTAAAACGTTAACGACATAATGGTCCTCGTAGTAATTAAAATTATTTTTGTTGTTTTTCTATATTTCACTCTGTTTACAAAAATGTGTATAAGAGAAAATCATATTCGTGATATAAAGCATTATTAAAAGGAAAGAATGTAGTTTAATTTAATATAGAATTTCTCATTAAAAAAAATGTGCTTGGTACTAGACATATATTCTAATTACAACTCAACTTTATTCATTTCGCTTTATGTCTCTTCAATTAGAACATTGGCTAAGATTTTACTAAGAATTCTTCATATTTCACATGAACAATCTCGACAGTGTATTAGACATCCACCAAGACAAGAGCAAGATTTAAAAGTGAGATCTGTATTTACTAAGATGCGATCTAGAATTCAGGTCAAACATGTTACAGAGCACATGAAGTATTTGGAAGAACAGATACGAGTTATCGAACCTGCCCTTGAAGCTATGAAAATTGTAAGATATTTTTTACAGCTAACCAAAAACAAAAAGTTTCTTAAAGCTAGCACAGTTTACTAAATACAACTATGATGTGCTGATAAATTGACACACATATTATGACTATTATCAAATATTTTATCAGGCAGTAGAAAAAAGTAAGACTTGGATAGAAGATAAAAATGACAAGCCGTCTGTCACATACATGGAGTTGTACCAGGAACTTGAATCAGCGACTATGGCCTTGTTAGATGCAACGTCACAAATAATGGGTAAATATTTTAACAATTTTATTACATGAAATATTTGTTGATATTTTTTTTCTTCATGACATGGTCAGACACAATAAAAATATTTTTTATTGTAACCACTGTTGTAAGATAAATGTAAATATATTCGAAGAATTTTTTTTTAATAATTGACAATTAACAATATTTTTTGTACCATCTACTCAAAAATATTATACCTACCCTCTTGGTTATCATACATGTAGAGAGGCAAAGTGTTAATGAAAAAAAAGCATTGCTTAAATTAATAATATAACACAAAATATATTTTGGTTTTTATAACAACAGACGAGAATCAAGAGCTCGTAGATGTCGAGAAAGGAACGCCATCTTTTTCTAAGCCCACACCACAAATTACAGCAACAGAAGAACTCGACCATAGTGAATCAACACATCAAGTTACTAAACATGTTCTACAAATATCGGGTATACATTATTTTTAAACTAAAACAATTATAGTAAAACTTAAAATGTAAAAGTTTGTACTTTAATTTTTTTTATTTTTAAAGAAAGAGTATTTATTAAAGGGATATGCTATGTTTTTTTCTATTTTTTAAAGTTTAGGATCTAAAGCCTTTTGAATACTTTTATCATATTTGGCATATAAAAGTAAGTTTTAAACAGCAAAAAAAAAGGTCGAAAACAATTTTGGTTGTCATGGAAACCCTAAAAACCTCCGCCATTTTGAATTTTTCGGTACTTTTAAAAATACTAAGGCTTTTTTATTTATGCACCTATAGCAATCAAATTTGAACTGCTTATATTTCAGTATATATTAAAACTTTATTGACGACAACTTTTTGAAATAATTACTAGTAAGAATTTTACAAGGTGTAAAATATCGTACTCTTTTTAGTATTCAAAAGTTTCAAAATGTGCATATTAATTACCAAATACTTTTTTCTATGAAAGCAATCACAATTCCCTCGTGACAAAAGTTGTATTTTTGCACGAAGAACAACTTCTGAAAATATGGTTGGCATTGGCTAATAAATAAAAAAAATAGTAGGCTTTTTAGTGTTAAAAACATGCGAACTGAGAAAAACAGCCAAAAGTAGCGAAAACTAGGTCAGGAAAGTACCATGTCTGTGTAAACTGCAAAGCCAATTGTAAGCTTTGGGTGTTTCCGAGATGTAGGAAATTAAGTTTATTAGATACATGAGAAATCCAGCTTTCCAATGATGTCAAATACAATATAATGACGGATATAAAACTTTTCATAGAGAGCTGGTAAGATTGGGAAAAATTGATTATTTTTTAATTAATAGGGTCATAAAAATTGTAATTTAAACACATAAAATATTTTTTTCTCTTTAAAGTTATTATATTCTTTATACAAAAATGGACAAAGTACCCAAAAGTGCAAGAAACCCATCATGACGAAAAACAAGAAATTTTGTGATTTTTTTCCGGGCAAATTTGCCAATAACTTTATTTCATTCTGGTATAGAAATATTGAGTCGAATTGAGCAGATAGAGATTGCTATACCTTCTCTACAAGACGTCAGTCGACTTGAGCAGATAGAGATTGCCATATCTTCTCTACAAGACGTCAGTCGACTTGAGCAGATAGAGACAGCCATATCTTCTCTACAAGACGTCAGTCGACTTGAGCAGATAGAGACAGCCATATCTTCTCTACAAGACGTCAGTCGACTTGAGCAGATAGAGACAGCCATATCTTCTCTACAAGACGTCAGTCGACTTGAGCAGATAGAGACAGCCATATCTTCTCTACAAGACGTCAGTCGACTTGAGCAGATAGAGACAGTCATATCTTCTCTACAAGACGTCAGTCGACTTGAGCAGATAGAGACAGCCATATCTTCTCTACAAGACGTCAGTCGACTTGAGCAGATAGAGACAGCCATATCTTCTCTACAAGACGTCAGTCGACTTGAGCAGATAGAGACAGCCATATCTTCTCTACAAGACGTCAGTCGACTTGAGCAGATAGAGACAGCCATATCTTCTCTACAAGACGCCAATGACAAGTCTACAGATGACATATCAGAAATAAAACAATGGAGAGACAACTTTGTAATAGAACAGAGTGACATGGGGGTAAACATTGAACAAATGACTAAAAAACAAAAGCAGAATTTCAAAAACCTCAGAAAACAAATTAATGAACAGGATAACAAAGTAAAGGAGCTGAACAAAGAAATTAAAAGTTTAAAAGAAAAAGAAACCAAGTCAAACAAAACACAAGAGAAACTGTCCCAAGATGCGAAAGAATATGAAAACAACGTCCACAAAATAAATAAAGAGATGCAAGATCACACAGATAAAACTGATAGTATAAAACAAGAAATTAAAAGACTTTCTGATCAAATGGCTGCCTTACAAGTAGAGAGTTCTAAAAACATGCTGGATACATCAACACAAATAGAAAAGGTAAAATTGCTAATTATATATGTACAAAATTTTACACATACTGGCCAAACTTATTTTACATTTAATAACCTGGTTAAATCAAAACACAACTTCGTAGCTTTATCGCCAGTTATACTTTAATATTATTACTAGGTTTAAAACACATGTTTATGTTAGTTTTAATGTGCAGTAAAAAAATCAAAATTTAAATGTATTAATTGAATCTTCTGCTCTTTAGCACACTGTGATGTACACTCTCCTACAACAAAGATTGATGCCTATTGACAAACTGATTCAAATCTTTAACCAGAACTTGGAAACTAGGAAAGAGAGAAAAACGAGGGTAGGCCCATATGTATAGTGATTTTATTAAAAATTAAATGACAACGTTGATAAATCCGGTGTTAAATATTTTAAAAAATAAACCAGTTAATGAAATATGTTTTCTTAAATTAAGCAATACATTTATAATTTCAAAAAGAAACATTCTTTAAAATATTTTTTATTCTTACAAGTTGCCATTTCAAAGTTAATGTTAGTGCAGCAATTGTATATTCTACGAAACTTTGTGACTTCTTCATTAATTTTATAACATATATATTTTAGGTGGAAAATATTGAAGATGCCATTTCAAAATTGTCCAAAGATTCGAATCTAATAGGTACGTTTATAAAACAAATCATACAACCAGACAAACCATAACGTGATGTTCGTTAGCCAGACAGACCATAACGTGATGTTCGTTAGCCAGACAGACCATAACGTGATGTTCGTTAGCCAGACAGACCATAACGTGATGTTCGTTAGCCAGACAGACCATAACGTGATGTTCGTTAGCCAGACAGACCATAACGTGATAAAGAATGGAACATTTCACTCACCCATAGTGCCAGACCCGTGGGTTTCCGTCAGGTGTTTGTTTCCTCACCTGGTACATTACACCACCTGGTATGTCGGGGGGTCGACCTACAGCGGTCAACCTTAGTATAGTAAGACATTACAAAGCTGTAGTTTAAAATTAACTAATTTTAATTACCATCACACCATCCTTTTATGTTTCTAATATAAAGACAGCTTAATAAATTAAGTTCTAGAGATTCTTGTTACGATAAATTAACCTTATATAATTAAACTATACGGACTGAATGATTATAACATAACGCTTATAACCGTTGTCGTACTATTTGTGAGGTATTAATTAAATTACTACACGTAATTCAATACGTAGGACACGATTAACTAACACCTCTAAAACTAAGGACCCTACTAAACTAGTGGTCTAGTGTTTCAATTTGTGGTCTTAGACAAAACTATGTAAATTTTATGGAATATTATACACAATGTATTTTTCTTTTAAATTTAGTTTGATTTGGGTTTGCCATTTTTATCGAGAAGGGGAGGGGAAAGTGATCGCGGCAATTATCTAAAATATTTCATATTATTTCAAGTTTATTTTTTAAACATTTCAAACTATTAAAGCTAATTTTTTATTCACGGTATTTCAAGTTTATTTTTTAAACATTTCAAACTATTAAAGCTTTAACCTTTGAAAACAATAAGATTTGGCTTTGATTGATCGTGGAACTAAATCATAGTAGGCCTACATCATTGATTTCTGTCAAACTCTAAGACGACGTAAATCTAGTGATTCTTTTCTTCAAGTATAAAAAAACAACTACAAATTATCACGTTACAGTTAGATATTTAAACTACGTGTATGGCTCACGGTCGGCGCGACAAGGACTAAAGGGGGGGGGGGGGGGGGGGGGAGGTTTGTTATGGAAACATGTGTAGCGTAAAGTTGTGTTGGAGTAATGTAATGACGTCACGTTGATTAGTAAATTAACCCTAACCTATATATTCGTTAATAGCTTGACAGACACAAATGACATTACAATGTTCGGTCTACAGCATCTTCAATAAAAATAAACAATGGTTAAAACTCCAAATTTTTGTGGACGTCATAAATGGATGACACTATTCGTGAAATTGAACATGTAAATCATACATATGTTTTCTAATCAACAGAGTCACGTGTATGTAACAGATATGCTTGTCATGTGACGCTTGCTAATCCCACACCTGTCAGTGCTAGATCAATTATTTCAAAATTTTATAAAGTACGTGAATATAACGGTCAACATTTTAATCAAACAACAGGAACATTTGTATCACCACATGATGGTTTATTTCTTGTCGGTGTAACTCTACATGAATGGGAAGATAAACAGATTAGAGTTACTGTGATGGCTAGAGACATGTTGTGTAAGTCTATAGAATTGAAATGTGCCTACACTAGCGCTGCTGGGTCAGTGGTTGTTGACATGAAGAAAGGTCAAGAACTTTACATTAAAGTGTCTCACGCTGATCAAGGCGCAGCTTTATCCGGCTACAGTAGTTTTACTATCGTTAGTTTATAGAAGTACAACACAAAACATGGTGGATGGGAAATTCTCAAAACGATAAAATTTGTAACCACCAAATAAAACACAATCTTACAGCTTACTTTGTGTAGACTACATGTCTACAAACACTTCAATGGTTTATGTGTTCTTTGATTAGTTACCAATATACACTTCCAAAAAATGTAATGTGAGTAGTATATTAGGTCACTTTTGGGTAGTATGGGTGAGCAGGATGCGGATGCGGATGCGGATGCGGAACAAAGGCTATATAGGAAAATACTCCCCCAGCCTGGTACAATGACATATAGCAAAATACTCACCCACCTGGGTAAGTGGGTGAGCAGCCTGGTACAACGAGATATAGTAAAATACTCCCTGGGGGAGGTGGAGGTACATCCTCATATAGTAAAATACTCACCCAACTGGGTGAGGGTGGGTGAGGGTGGGTGAGCAGCCTGGTACAATGGAATATAGTAAAATACTCACCCACCTGGGTGAGGGTGGGTGAGGGTGGGTGAACAACCTGGTACAACGAGATATAGTAAAATACTCACCCACCCTAGGGTGGGGGATGCGGATGCGGAGTAGGTCAGTAGGTCACCACCGGTGACCTTGTGACGTAATTAGTAACATTATGACGTAATCATTGACCTAGTTACGTAATCATTGACCTAGTTACGTAATTTTAACGAGTTTTTAATTAGTTTAATGAGTTTTTTAAATTTTAATTAATTTAGACCTAGTTACGTAATTTTAATGTGTTTTTTAATTAGTTTTAATGAGTTTTAAAAATTTTAATTAATTTTTTATTAACGAGTTACGTAATTTGATTATTTGTTTGAGTTTTTAAATTTTTAATTAATTTTTTATTATCGAGTTACGTAATTTAATTACTTTGATTGTATTTTTATTTTGTTTAATTTGTTTGTTTACTTGTTGTTTAATTTAATTACTTTGTTTATATTGTGTAATTTTTATTAACGAGTTACGTAATTTGATTATTTGTTTACTTTTTAATTATTTTTATTGACGAGTTACGTAATTTGATTATTTATTTACTTTTTAATTATTTTTATTTTGTTTATTTTTAATTTAATTTAATTTTATAATTAGTTAAATTATTATTAACTAGTTACGTAATTTGATTTTAATTACTTTTGTTTATTTATTTATTTGATATATTTCTTTTCTTTGATGTATGGTATTTAAAATAAAAGACACTGTTTATTTGATTTTAAACGGATAGGGGTGTTGGTGGATGAGAGGGGAGTAATGACGGGGTTTGAGGGTAGGGGTGCGTTAGCGTGTACTTTGTGAATAACATCCATTAACCAGACACGTAACACCTGTTACGTATCGACCGCCCGCGAACTTTTCCGGGCTGCGTATTTTTTAATGGGAATGTATTGATCGCACCCACTGGGCCATCACAGCATGATGTCCCACCTAATTAAATTTTTGTTATGCTTCACCGAGTTTCCCCCGCTCGGTTGACAGGTTATGGTAATTTACGACGTACATTAAGTGGCTTTCCGCGAAGTACGTAGGTCATTATGCAACAGCTGTGTAATATCGATCGCATCCACTGACCATCACACCTAATTAAATTGGTCACGCATCGTAAGTGTAGCGACATCGGTAACTATTCGCTTATAGCGAGGTCAGCGAAAACCGATCGATTTGTCAGCTCCGTGAAGCCCTTAGGTAACAGCTGGTGCTGTAATTAGTCACGGCTCTCGGCTTTTTTCATTAGATTACAGCTGTCCATGAACTATGTTCACATATCGTACGCCCGGTCATTCTTTGATCAAATTAAAAAATTTTGTTTCCACATGTCCTACGAACCGTCCCTTGCTATGTATGAAAGATTAATGGTTGTAACTATTCGCTTATAGCGAGGGTCAACGAAAACAAAATATATTTAAGGGTCGGAATTTTCTTTCAACCACCGTTAAATCAGGTTTTGAGACGAAACGAAGTCTCGGTAGGTTCGTGCTTTTTAATGGGCGACAGGGGCGACTTAGTGCGTTGGTACGTAAGGTATGCGGGGGTAGACATGTTTTTTACAAGTCTGGAAAAGTAATTAAGTTTTTTATGACCGTTCCGATTTTCTTTTGATCTGACCAACATTTGACCACCCTGAGCCAGATAAATTTAACAAATGTTCAATACATAGTCGCTTATAGTAACATGGGTGAAGGGGTGTAAGCAGACGGGTGACGGTCTTATCAGGTGGGTGAAGGGTGAAAGGTGGGTGAAGGTGGAGAAGGAGTGAGCACGTAGGTGAAGGGGTGAGCAGGTCGGTGAAGGGGGACAGGAGTAGGAGTAAAGGATATATAGTAAAAGATTCCAACACCTAAGTGAGGTGGATTTTAATTTTAATTTTTAATTTTATTATTTTTTTTTTTTTTTCATCATCTGTTAACTTTAAAGTTCTATAACTCTATATATTTAAATACATTTTTGATTCAAACGAGTTTACTCCCTCTAACGTAAGTATATGTAAAGACGGATTTCCTATAGATCTGTAATGAATTAGGCCTTTTTGACTAGGACTTGTTGCCCAGGTGTTGATATGATACGCTTTTTTGAGATACGCACATACACACACAGACTTACACACACACATACACACACACACGTGGTGGTGGTAAGGTGGTGGTAAGGTGGTGGTAAGGTGGTGGTAAGGTGGTGGTAAGGTGGTGGTGGTAAGGTGGTGGTAAGGTGGTGGTAAGGTGGTGGTGGTAAGGTGGTGGTAAGGTGGTGGTGGTAAGGTGGTGGTGGTAAGGTGGTGGTAAGGTGGTGGTAAGGTGGTGGTGGTAAGGTGGTGGTGGTAAGGTGGTGGTAAGGTGGTGGTGGTAAGGTGGTGGTGGTAAGGTGGTGGTAAGGTGGTGGTAAGGTGGTGGTGGTAAGGTGGTGGTAAGGTGGTGGTAAGGTGGTGGTGGTAAGGTGGTGGTAAGGTGGTGGTGGTAAGGTGGTGGTGGTAAGGTGGTGGTAAGGTGGTGGTAAGGTGGTGGTGGTGGTAAGGTGGTGGTGGTAAGGTGGTGGTGGTAAGGTGGTGGTAAGGTGGTGGTAAGGTGGTGGTAAGGTGGTGGTGGTAAGGTGGTGGTAAGGTGGTGGTAAATTTGCTTAAGATTATAAACTTCAAGTTTTAAAAAGCAACAACGTTATAGTACGTCGTGTCAAATGACACACAGTTTAAAATGTCTACATTTAAATTTCACCAAAATAAGGGTGTATAAACTAAATATGATATGACGTTAGCATACATATCATTCAATCTAATCATTCTAAAGTACAAATCAATAATTTTTATTGATTAAGGGGCTGGGTGAGTTATTTTTATTCGGGTGCGCAGGGAAGGTTTGGAGTTGGTTGGGACAGATTTTATACACGAGTCGGTGACGTTTTCACCGAGCCAGGGTTCGAGGCTAGTCCATGTATGTTTTAGAATTGTTAGGGGTCCAGTCTATAGTAGGGTCGGGGGAGTTTTGTTAGCACTGAGGCAGGTTGGAACGTTGGTACATGCATGTTTGGGAATTGTTGGTAGCCGAGTTCATACTAGTGTCGGTGAA